TCGTCTTTCCCAACCTTACACATAGCAGCCAAAAAGGCAATTTATATTCAGCAACTCCCTGTTCTTGTCTAATTTCCTCAGACAAAACAAGAGATTGTGGTGGGCCTGCTAGTTCAAAACAGCACAACTTGTTTCTCCTGCTTCTTATCATCACCTCATGAATCAGAGGCTTTTGGAGCCACAGGGACCCTTAGAGTTATCTGATCTGATGCCTAGTTTACAGATGGGGAACCGAGGCTCAGACTGAGAACTCGTTCAAGGTCATGTTTTTGTAAGTGGTATAGTTGAGTCTTCAATAGTGTTTTGTTTAACCCTCAGTGTTTCCCTTATTTTCCCTTTATCTGTCTTTCTTTGCAATAATTACTCACATTCCAGGAAGAAAGCACCGTCCAGTGAGAGCTAGTTGTATGCCTGTTCTCCAAATAGCTCCAGACTAGTGGACAACATGATTACCAGTCACTGCTTTGTATAATAAAGCTTGTGTTTGGAAGTCAGATTTCTGTTTTATGAGAGAAATCTAAGGCAGACATCATACTGAGAATCTCTGAGGCTCCTCTCTTTGTTTCCAGGCTGTTCTTCACCATTCGGGAGCAGCCTTATAAAATATGATGAAGGCATCATCATCAGCATTAGGAACAGCCTTGCTGCTTATAAAGCTGAATTACTTGGGGCAAGGTGTTTACCCCTTCTGAATCTGTTTCCTTATTAAATACTGTGGTATGTGGCACACACTTCTTAGAGTTACTGTATTACATACGGAAGGGAAAACATAAAATACGATGGAAATGAGGGGTACTGGGAGTGGGAGAGGGAGAGCAAAGTGCATCGTTGGAATGAAAAAAGGACAACTCTGAGTGGTTGGAAATCTTGTTGGTACTTCTGCCTGAAAACATGAAACTGGTGAATGTCCTCTACCTGGTGACTTTACACCAGTGAAAGCCATTTAAGGGTTGCGCCTCCCATGGGAATCCCTCTGAAAGCTTGGGTTGAAAAAGCAGATTCTCTTGTGTAATAAAAAGTGGTGGGAGAAGTGATTTTGATCATGAGGGCTGGGGGACCACAGCTGTTGCTTCTCAGGAAGACAGAAGCATCTTAAGGTTTGGGGAAGAAGCAGTGAAGGACTGAATCGATTGGTAGATTGTGTAAAAGTCATCATTGTGTCTTGAGCATGTTCTTTGGGTCTAATCCAATGCCTGGCAATGTGAAAGACACATAAATAGTGTGCAGCCAGAGCCACATGCGTGAGGAGTTTGCCTTCTGATTGGGGGCAGATGAGAACCAAGATTATCTGAGATTAACAACCCAAACTGTGTTGGAAGGAGAAGACGTCAGATGTCAGAAGAAACAGATTCATGCAGGGTGATAGGGAGTCAGTAGTTGCTTGTCGAATGGAATTGTGAATGTGAGCTTCGGGTGGTTATGTAGCAGAAGATGAGCTGTTGTTCCAAGTTGGGATAAACCGTGGGTTGAGCACGGAATTTAGGGGACACTGTTAGAGTCTTGACTGGAGCAGAGGGCAGAATTTGGCCAATGATGGAGGCTAAGGGGGATAATTAAGGCCAGGATAATTTTGGAGGATTTAGGAATCTAGGAGTTATGGTTTATGGTGTGTGTGTATGTGTGTGTGTATGTGTGTGTGTGTGTGTGTGTGTGTGTGTTTACAACAGTCCTTGATAGGTGTTTGTGCTAGGTGCTGCCTGTGAGAGTGTCTGCCTACTTTCCTGATGACAAGAATGAGGAAGAGATAGACGTTGGTCATTACACAACACATTGTGACACAGCAACCTCATTACTTCCTGTTTCCATCTGTGAGCAGGGCCTCTGGAAGGAACAGACAGGTTCCGTGGGAGTCTGAATGGGGACTAGGGGGAGTCAAGGCTGTGAAATGTACGTTTTCTATGGAAAACCAGACATACAAATGGGCTAAACCATTGAGTGACCTGACTCTCAGATGAAGGAGAACTTCCGTGGACTAGCAGCCATGGCCCGTGGCCCATGAAGAGGTAGTTTCTCCAAACCCACTTCATTAGCCCAACCTTGTTCTGAATTCAGCCTAGTCTAAAAGCTCAATAGTAAATTAATTTCAGCATAATTTGTCCAGGCTTCTGTGCCAGGACTACAGAAGAACACTCTTTGGGTGAGTTTCTCCAGAAAGAGAGGGCACTTGATAAAAGATGTGCTGGAGGTGTGCTCCTTCCATTCACGGATAGACTGTGAGGTAAGGAAAATCCTGTGGTCAGGTGGCAGACAGAGGGCACATTGCAGGTTCCAGAAAGAGCAGTGAGTACCCACAGTTCGCAGTGTGGGCATACCTTTTCTCCATTTTTTTAGTGACCCTTGTGGGATCTGGCAGATGGATTGAGTGATGACCCTCACATGCTCGTTAGAGCTGCAGAAATGGGGAACGTCTCGGTTCCTTGAATCGTCAGGAGAATGGCTAGAATTGAATCTCTGAGGTGGTTCTTTCTTCCCGAAAGGATGCAAATCCCTAATTAAAAGTGAGGGTAACAACTAGACCTACTTTTTAAAAAAACAGCTTTATGAACACTATTTATGTACTATAAAATCCACCCTTTCAAATATATAGTTCAGTGGATGTTAGTAAATTCACAGAGTTGTGTAATCATCCCCTCAATCCAGTTTGAGGATCTTTCCACCTTCCTGAAAACCTCCCTCATGCCTTCTGTGTTCAGTCGCTCTTCCCTCCTCTCCCCTGCCCAGGCAACCAGTAATTGGTGGGACCATGTCTGATAGATTTGCCTGTTCTGGACATGGCAAATAAATGGGAGCCTAAAATAGGCATTTTGCATAGGGCCGTCATTTAGCATAATGCCTTCGAAGTTCCCCTGTGTTGAGCATGCGTCCGTATTTCATTACTTTCTGTTGTTGAGTGGTGTTCCATCGTACCGATATACCCTAGTTCACATATCTATTCATTCATCAGTCGATGAATTGTTTCCACTTTTTGGCTATTGCAAATACAAGTGTTGGCTATATTTGTTTCCTTTGACTGTTGTGACAAATTCCTGCAAAGTTGGTGGCTTAAAAACAATAGAAATGTATGCTTTCACTGTCTGAGACCAGAAGTCTAAGGGGAAGGTGTTGCTGGTCCATATTCCTTCTACAGGCTCTGGGGAGATCCCATTCCTTGCTGCCTCCTCTGGTGGTAATGCCAGTCCCTGACGCAGCCCTTTCCTCCATCTCCACGTTGCCTTCTCTTCTGTGCATCTCCCCAAACTCCCACTGACCCTCTCTCACCAGGATACATGGGCTTGCCTTCAGGGCCCACCCTGGTAAGTCAGAAAAAGGTCTTTCTCTTAAGATCCTTCACATACTCAAATGTTTGGCCGCACACGGTAGCATTCGCGGGTTCCAGAAATTTGATGTGGCTGTCTTCTGGGGGGACTGTGTTTCTGCCTACCTCAGCAGTTGTGAGCATTCACATAAACTTGCTGAGTAGACGAGTTTTCATTTCTCTTCGTAGATAACTGGGAATGTCATTGCTGGGCCACAGTGGGAACTTATGTTTAGCTTTCTAAGTAATCATCCACCTGTTTTCTGAAGAGACTGGGCCATTTTACATTCCTGCTCACGATGTCTGAGGGTTCCAGTCTCCACATTCTTACTGGTTGTCTGCCTTTTTGAAACTATAGCCCTTCTAGCAGGTGTGAAGTGTTACCTCATTGTGGTTTTAATTTGCATTTCCCTGATGACTAATGATGATGAGTATCTTTTCATGTGTCTTAGCCAGCTTATGGTTCTTGGTAAAATGTCTCTTCAGAGCTCTTACCCGTCTTAAAATTGGGTTGTTGGGGCACCTGGGTGGCTCAGTCGTTACGTGTCTGCCTTCGGCTCAGGTCATGATCCCAGGGTCCTGGGATCGAAAGCAGCATTGGGCCCCCTGCTCAGTAGGAAGCCTGCTTCTCCCTCTCCCACTATCCCTGCTTGTGTTCTCTCTCCCTCTGTCTCTCTGTCAAATTAATAAGTAAAATCTTTAAAAATAAATAACTAGATAAATAAGATTAGGTTGTCTTTTTGAGTTATAAGACTAAACTTATTTTTCATAATCTGCCCCAGTCTCTGCCAGTCTTAAGAATGTGGTGATTGAGGTGACCTTGATGAGGAGGTGCTGGGGCCATCCAGGTCCCCGGGATGCCTGGAACTGGGACAAGGCAGCCATGTCTGCAAGGTACCATGTCAGTCTGTTCCTCCCAGGTAGATGGGACCCACAGTGGCCTTTTGACTCCCAGTTACTGTGTCAGGGAAGCGAGGAGATGGCTTATTCTGTGTCTTAGAGATCATAACCTCAGTGTTGTTGTAGGCTGGCTGTTGTCTGATGAACAAGGGGACCGACCTAAAGAACCCCACAGCATATTCTCATTGTAGCCTATTTTTCTTTCTTTTTTAAAGATTTATTTATTTATGTTAGAGAGAGTGCGAGCAAGAGCATGAGCAGGGGGAGGGGCAGAGTGAGAGAGAGAACCCTGGAGCAGACTCCCCACTGAGTGTGGAGCCCGATGTGGGGCTCCATCCCAGGACCCTGAGATCATGACCTGAGCCAAAGGCAGACACTTAACGACTGAGCCACCCAGGCGCCCGTTGCCCGTTTTTTTTTTTTTTTCTTTCATAACTCTTGCCACAATTTAAATTAAGTAGTTGTCTCTATAATATTTTACGTTGACTATCCTCCTCCTCCTCCTAGATGATTAAGAACCCCTGGGACGAGGACCACATCTGTGTTTTGTCGCTACCACTGGTCTCTAACACAATATGCCGTAGGCAACCAGCCGGTTTTTGTCGGGTGGAAGAGTGACTGGAACATGCCAGTCGTGGGGGTTGAGGAGGATGTCCTCTGCTTTGCAGTGGGTGATTCACTTGGAAGTATGAGACAGACGGTTGTCTGTTAAATAAGTAATTCATGAGCCGCCGCATGTGCTGCTCAGTGTCTTGTATTTTACCCACCACTGACGCCATTTCCCCCGTGTATTTCTCCTTTCCAGCGATCTATAACTACAACGCCTCTCAAGATGTGGAGCTCTCCTTGCAGATTGGAGACACGGTTCACATCCTGGAGATGTATGAGGGTAAGTCTGGATGGCCTTCTGCCAGATGGGGAAGGGGAAAAACGGTGGGAGTTACTTATTAATGAGGCACTTAGAGCAAACATCAACACGCTTTACTTCCTTAAGTGGGGCTAGTAAAAATCCAGGAAGGACTTCAGGTTATACAGTTTCGTACCGAGGGCGATTTCAGAACAGCCTGTTGAATGCAGGAGTGCAGAGGTGCCCAGACACCCGAAACTCAAAGTACACAAGTCACTGAAGCCCAAGCATGGGATGCCAGAGGGTCCGCCGCAGGGCTGGCTTGAGACGAGCCACGTGGGACACCAGATTGGCTGTTGTGCCAAGGAGCAATGCTGATTAAGTGGCTTTTTCAACTCAGCACTAAATGTTGCCAGATTGGGGGAGAAATGAAGGAGAGACCTACGGGTCTGAGATTCTTTCACAGAATTAGGTCAGGGCTACAGCCGATCCAGAAAGCCCATTAGTGTATTCTTGCAACGAGCTCGGGCCAGGGAGGTGGTTCTGGTTAACCTATTAGTGGGCTGCAGGGTAGTACTCAGGACTCCCCATTGTCTGAGAGGCACGTGTTGTGTCCCCCGCTCTCCCTACCACATCCCACCCCACCCCAAGTTTTAGCTCCAGCTCAAGCTCTTGGATTTCTAGCTGGACTTCCTGCATCCACATGTCAAATCCCCTGAGTACAACAGACATGGACCCAGGCCACTGAAGTTGAAGGTCAAAGCAAAGACCAATTTTGAGGGCCCATTTATTCTCTCTGAAGATTGAGGCAGTAATGAGGTGGGACGCTAGGCAGACTTTACTCATAGAGTGAGGCTTGTCAGAATCAGGGTCTCTAGATTTTCAGGATCTGCACTCCCCTTCATCCCAGTAAGTGCTGGTGATGGTGGAATGGCAGAGGTGGTCACCAAGAACCTAATGTGGATTCCTAGGATGGGGAAGAAGGGATGTGAAGCCGCGGGGCGGGGGGGTGGGGCATAGGAAGCCGTGTTTGGCCATAGAAAAGCTAAGTCATTCTGCCCAGTTGCACAGAAGAGTCTGTTACTCCTGCTGCCTCCCTTTATTTTTAGGCAGAGGGCAGGGGTTTTGCTTCTCCCTTCCACACAAATCAAAGTACAATCCTGCAGCTCCCAGGGGAAGGGAGAAGCAAGGGGGTGTTGTGTGGACTCTTCCCACTCTACGGTCTTTTCTGTTTTCATCCTCACCATCTCAGGTCCAGCCCAACAGCAATTCCATATAGTCCCTAAGTCTCTGAGGTGCAAGGGACAATGCACTATCGTCTCATCTCAGGACTCCTTTGCTTATAAATTAATCCATTCTAGGGGTGCCTAGGTGGCTCAGTGGGTTAAGCCTCTGCCTTTGGCTTAGGTCATGATCTCAGGATCTTGGGATCGAGCCCTACATCGGGCTCTCTGCTCAGCGGGGAGCCTGCTGCCCCCCCCCTCCAGCCTGCTTCTCTGCCTACTTGCGATCTCTCTTTCTCTCTCTGTCAAATAAATAAATAAAATCTTTAAAAAAAAATATTCCATTCTATTTAGCCTGTGGGCACACATTTTTGCATTGTACAGGTGAAAGGTGTACGTTCGGTTTCTATACCTCTTCTGTATAGTCTTGAAAAGAATGTGTATTAGGATCATGGTGTGAGAGTTCTATAGATGACAGTCGGGTTCTGATTTCTCCATCTTATTTTTTTTTGCCCCAAAACACGTTTTTCTGCATTTTCCGTCACTGAGAGAACCGTTAAATCTTCCACTGTGCTTGCAGTTTATGTCAGCAATGATTTACACTGATGTCAGTTTTTTGCTTTATATATTCTCAGACCTGTTTTTAGGTACATACAAGTTTAACTTTAGAATTGTTATATTAAGCAATTTGAACTTTTAATTCCTGTTTACTAAATCTCCTACCATTATTTTTTTCTGTAGCAATGATTTTTCCTTAGTCTACTTTGTCTGAAATTACAGCCAACTCAGTGGCAATCCAATGATTCTCCTGGATCCATGAGGCCATCAGAAATGCTGCTCAACCATTCAGGACACTTTTTTTTTTTTTTTAATTTCAGGTGCCCCAACAAGAGAGCAGCCTCACATGCTGGTCTCATCTTTCTGAGTTTTGGTCTTTTTCAGATCTTCACCTTGTAATTCCCACTTTACCATGTTAGATTTTCAGTGCGTGTGCATGTATATGTGTGTGTATGTGTGTGTTGGGTTGTTAAATTTTTCTAAGTGTACTGTGGAGTGTGGGAGGGAAGAGTGGAGAATTGACTGGAAATAAAGTAGGTGATGTCTTTTGAATACATTTTCAAAATTTTTTTTTTGTCTCTATGTGACCCCAGCATATTTTTTTAAATAGTTCACTGAAGCACTTTGTCCTCATAGGATTCATATCAGTGACCATTTCGTGTTTGCGTCCTCTCTGTACTTAACTGAATAGTCTCCCAGTTGACCAATGAACATTTTGAAAGGTGGCACTCCTCTGGAGCAAGCTGAGGGGGTCACCGAGCTTGGTTGAAGATAAATGGAATCAGAGATGCACAAACACATCCATTTCAAGCTTGAGTCCAGAAGCCACAGTGCTCCTAGCGTTTCACAGCTCATGCAGCAGTAGGCTTGCCAGTGCTGGCCCCGCTGATAGACAGTCACACAGAAACCTGCCAGGTGATAGATGTTGTATCTTGAATATGATGATCCTGGTGCTCTTAGTCCTGACAGCAGGAAACTGGTGTGCCTGTTAATTGCTACCATAAAATACTGGGTGTGCCACAGGACTCTTTCATGTCAAAAAAAGGATGTCCGTGCCCATTCAGCAAAACTGCCATGTGTCAAGGTATGAATGGGCAGACTTAGAACATGAGCTTCCAGGGTTAATCTACCACCACCGAGTGGCCTGTCAGTTTTACAGAGATTATTATGTTGGATTAAGTTTTTAAATAGTGCTTATTTTATGGGGTTAAATTTTTTTTAACAGTGCCCGCCTTGCCAGATGCAGCGATAGGTTCTTCTGTCTCCTAAGTAGTTCGAGTTCTTGGCTGGGTTCTCAGATTCCTTTATTATTTCAGGCAGCAGGACTGAGTGAGGGCAGGAGTCCTTTGCAAACATTAAACGCGGTGGAAATGCTGAGTAATAACTTGAGTTCTCTCCCTCCTCCCCCATCTCCTCTTTCCTTTAAAAAAAAAAATAAAAATAAACAAAATGGAAACACCCAAAGTACTGCCAGATGGAATTTAAGGCTAATGCTGGCACTGTTTCATGGCCTCAGGGGTTTTGGGTCTTCCAGCTTCCTGTCGGATTTGGCTCCTGGGCTCCCCAGTGCACGCTCTGCCCCGCCCCACCTTTGCGATATTCTCATACCAGACCCATGTGTGCTTTTTCCTGTGTGGACAGGAGTCTACCTTTCTGGAGCCCAGATATGGAAAATTCTCTTCTGCCCACAACCCACCACAGAATACCACTTAGAACTCTTCCTTTTGCTGTTTCCTGCCCTGTGGTTTTATGAATAATTATGAAAGTGGTAGCCCCTTGAAGGCAAAGCATGCTCCCCTTTCATTTCAGGGTCGGTGTCTAGCATAGCACCTGGTGTAAATGGGGTGTTCTGCCGAAGTCTGCTAGATGGTTGAAGATAAAATACGAGACCAAGACACCAAGGCAAGCCCCTTGTAGCAAGGCAAGCTAGTGTGGAAAGTAAGAGAGGTAGGGGGTCACCTCCATAAAGCCCCAGATATTATAGGCAGAGCTGTTCTCCTTCCATGAGGGAAATATAGGAGGTGCCAGCATTTCCTTGTCCTTTGCAGACTGCAGAAGGATTTGGTTATTGCATGAGTTTTTTTGCTTTTGTTTTTAATAACAGCTTCATTGAGATCTATTTCAAATACCGTGCAATTTACCCATTTAAAGTGTACAATTCAATGGTTATTTACAAAGTACGCCATTCACAGAGTTGGGCAATCATCATCACTTTCTACTTTCAGAACATTTTCATTATCCCAGAAAGAAACCCTGTACCCATTTGGTGGTCATTATCCCCCAGCCCGGAGCAACCACCAACCTAATTTCTGTCTCTATAGATTTGCCAAGTCTAGACATTTCATGTAAATGGCATCATATAATATGTGGTCCTTTGTGACTAGCTTCTTCTACTTACTGTAGTGTTTTCCGGGTTCATCATCATTATAGCATGTTTCAGTACTTCCTATCTTTTTGCAGCTGAATGAAATCTGTTGTATGCTTATATCACATTTTATTTATTCATTCATCAGTTGATGGACATTTGGGTTGTTTACACTTTTAACCTATTCTGAGTAATGCTGCCATAAACATTGATGTATAAGTTTCTGTGTGGACATGTGTTTTCAGTTCTCTTGGGTATGTTCCTAGGAGTGGAATTGCTGGGTCATATAGTAGCTTTTATGTTTAACCTCTTGGGGAACTGCGGAACTACTGATTGCTTGAGTTTTGCCTCCAAAATAGGCCAAATGAGTGAGTTGCTATCACTTATCACTCATGTCTTTCTGTCGCCTTGTCCCTGAGCTTCATTTGTTACTAAAAAGAGGGGCCGGGAGATAGAATTGACTGAGAAGCTATATGCTGCTCATCTTTTGTAGGCACTTGAGAATTATTTTCCTTCAGAGACTTTTTTAGAGAGCAAAAGTCCTCAAGGACTGAAGCAAGTGTCCTCTCCTTTCTTCATCTTTGGCCCTAGCGAGCCTGTGGTCATTTCCATGTCTTTGCTGCTCGTTCGTTCGTTCTTTCTTTCTTTCTTTCTTTCTCTCTTTCTTTTTTTTTTTTTTCTTTCCATGTCTTTGCTTCTTTAACCAGACAAGGGATTTGGTTGTGAGACAGGTGTTCTCCATCTAGAATGTTCTTTCCTACCCCAGATCCATGGGCATGGCTGAAAAATCACTGCTATCTGGAGATTCCAGTTGTGGTCATTTATTCATTCAAAAACACGTGCTGAGCAAGTATTATGCTCTTAATATGTGCCAGGTACATTTATTGAGCCCAAGA